TAACACTTATTGAGTACTTACTATATGCCAGGACCTTTTTTCATGTAATGCCCATAACCAATCTTACAATGTAGACACTGTTATCACATCCGTTTTGTAGATGAGGAAACCAAGGGACAGAAAGGTGAAGAAACAGATTACAGCTCTACACAAAGTTACAGAACAAGGCTTCCATACAGCAATTTGCTACCAGAGGTGGCTCTCTTAAACCTTGGGCTGTACTGACTTTACCTTTGATACAAATATTGTACGGACTAGAAAGAGAGGGAGGAGGAAGAGGACATTGGAGTGAGGGACATCCCTCAGGAGGGCACAGAAACAAGGCCAGGCACCAGAAATACTTAGTGTGGGAGATGGGTGGGCCTGGATTGATTGGTTGTCAGGGATAAAAAGGAAGGGAGGGAATGATGACAATGTTCAGGTGTCTGACTTGGCCACTGTGTGGAGAGTGGTCTGTTTTATAGCAACAGGGAGTACAAGTTGGGGCGCAGACTGCAGGCAGGAATGACACGCGCTATCCAGAGCACTGGGAGACGGAGGTTGCTGTGGAAATCCAGCGTGGTGCGTAGAGGCGGCACTGTGTGAGGGCGGGCGCACAGGAGGTGTGGCGTAGTAGTGAAGGGACACTTAGAATGAAATCTGGACCCCTAACCAGGATCACAATTAATTATTTAAATTAGTGAGGTAGAAAGAGGGGACTGCTGTTATTAATTCTGCTTTTACTATTGGCAAAAGGTTTCATGTCTTTGGGTTTCACCATCTTTATCTGAAAAACAAGGGGCATACAACAGATATTTGAAAGGTACCTTTGAAGGGTTTTCTTTATATTTTCTTAAAAACTGTATGGACTGCATTACGTAAATTCTATCAGCAGGTAATCTGGAAATTTACCTAACTGACCACAAGGGGGAGAACTCTAATGCCACATTAAGTAATTTATTACAATATAGAATACTTACATGAAGTTGGTGATAGGCTGTCTCATTTCTACTTCCTCATGGACATAGGGAGCATTTGACAACTAGATACAGTTTTGACTAAATTGAAATGTAGTTTTGTGTTGCTAAAGTTACGATAAAGTCACTAAATGTAAAAATCTATTTGTATTTACCAATAATTCTCCATGAAGGAATTCAGATGCCTCTTTAATTAAAATGAATACAGTAGAGTTTTAAAATTTACCCTGAGAAGGATTTTCCTTCCAAATAACATCATTTCAGTTATCTTTCAAGAAGACTGTAACATTTCTGAAAATCTTTGGTGACTGTAAAACAAGCATAAGCTCATCAACATGTCAGTCTATTGTAAAGATATACATATCAAAACAAAAGGATTAGAATAGCGATCATATCCTTTAAATGTTACATGTTCATTAAATATTCATTGTTTATATTATACCTTCATTGTTATATAAATATTGAATGCTATATGTTCGATGTGAAAATACTAATTTTCTGTTTGGGTTAACTTTTGTACTCTGGTTTTATGTAAAGTTTTATTGTAAGGAAGTTGTGACTCTCATTGGATTGAGAATTACCTTATGTGTCTTCCCAAGGTTTAAAAAGTCACATTTTTGGACTTGACCAAATAAATTGTATTTGTAGGGTATAAATATAATATTTCCATGTTTTATCAAGTCCTAGTTTCAAACATACACCGGTAAGTGAGTGTCGTTCCCTTTAAAGACATAATATTAGTGAGCTAGATAGAAATCTTAATAATGCTACTGTTACTGAAAACATATTTATGTTTCCCCAAAGAGGCTGTGTCACACTCTTTTAATATGTTCAGTGACAGCAGGTCTTCCTTTGAGAGTGAGTGCGATATTTAAAAACAAACGAATCTAAGAACCAAGATTAAATATTAAGTCTCAAATCAAGTTGAAGTATATATTTTTTGGGGGGGTCAAAAAACTAGATGTTACTAAAATATTTAGGCTCCCTTTGATTTATAAAACTCCTTAATTTATGTGCAATAAAAGAGTCACAAAATGTGTTCAACAATGATGTCACAGGAATAAGTATAAGCCCTCCTAAGGTGACTGCTAGGAAGGGTGATTTTCATTTCAATAAACTCATTCTAGTGTGTTCACTAAAATAAGTAAATAATTCTCCAAGTAGCTTAATTTATTTAGAGTCTGTTTGGGTTTCTTTTTCAGCTTTTTTTTCACATTTGACACTTTATTAATTCTTTAAATGTAAAATAACAGTATACTAAATCAATAATGTTATCATTTAGATATTTTCTATAACATCTTCCATGATGACTCATTTTTACTGTTTTCATTTTGGGCTAATGAATTAATTTTCTCTTAATATTTTTCTCACCAGAAAGTATTACAGGCTAATAAAAGACACATGCTAGGCAGTACGGAGGAGATGCATCTACCTGCTGCTTGTATACCCAGTGACTAGCACAATGCTTGACCCCAAAGTAAATATTTACTAGCAGATATTTAGTAAATACTAGTTTCAGAGATGAGTGAATAAATGATATGAAATTGCATCGTAATTATTCTATGTAATAGAAATTATATATAATTAAATTTTATATATAATATTCTTGTTACTTATGCGTGCAATATTATTTCTGATATATATGAGTATGTATTATTGTCCCCAGCTGTTGATAATCATCCACCCAAAACTAAATGGCTTAAATCAACAATAGTCACTAAAGTTGTTCACAAATCAGTAATTCAGACAGGGCTTGGTGGGAACAGCTCCTTTACTTGACTACTTCACACAGTGTCAACTGATCTGTCTTGGAATCCAGGTTGACTGGGAGGCTGGGGTCTGGAATTAGCTGAAGATTCACTCATTCACATGTCTAGTGGTGCTGCTGGCTGCTGACTGGGACCTCACCTGGGGATGTCATCTGGAATACTGCTTGGATTGCTGACAGAATGTTGTTTAGACTGCAAGAGCTAGCCTTTAAGTAGTCTAAGCAAAGTACATGGCATTTTTGTGACCTAGTCTTGGAGGCCACATGAGATCACTTCTGTTGTACTCTTTTGGTTGAAGCAGTCACAAATGTGTATCCGATTTCAAGGGCAGGGGACGTAGAGGCCATCATGTGATGGGAAGAATGTTAAGGTCACACTGGAAGAGCATGTGGGACATATCGCAGTGGCCAATGTTAGAAAATATAACCTACCATATTTTATTTGCTTAAATACATAATTTTATTTATAAACTGTGCTAACTTTAGAAAATACTGTTCACAAACAAAATTTACCCTGTTACAGGGACTCTATCTGATCCAGTAAACATTTATTGTTCATTTTCTCCTTCCTGTTTCTGCTCATTCTCTGTTTTCTTGAATATGGTCATCCACCCTCCAAACCTCTCCTCATATCCATTCAAAGCCTAGGCGAAGGTTTACTTCTTCATTGTTTTCTCCTCCCCGCGACCCCTGCTCTCCCTCTGGCCTTCTCTCTCTCTCTCCACCCCCACCTCTCTGTCTTCTATGTGGAAAGTATTTACTTTTATCTCCACTCATTTTGTTACTAAACATTTAGGATCAATGGGTGCCTGTGTCTTTTTTTACAGTTCAAAGAGTAAATAACACATTGCTGACTAATATTAGGTACTTAATATTTACTAAGCTGATGTCTAAATTATATAGTCTTAATGACTTACTTTATCTAAAATGTACTTTTTTGTCACTAAATTTAAATAAAGGGAACTTCAAGTTTAGCTAAAAGTGAAAATGCCATTCTGTATCTAAACCTACATTATAACGTTTAAAAATTAGAAATGGTCTTTCCTGAAATTTAATTCTGATATGGAACAAATGATGAAAAATTATCTGCATATGACAAATTGGAGGTGCATGCTGAGATTGTGCTTTTGTTCCTCAAAGACACTGAAAGTCAAATAAGTAAAAAATGAAACTAAAATAGCTATTTTCTCCATTAAATCCACCATGTTTTAAGATACTGAAGTGATTTGGCATACACATCATTGAAGTAATAAAAATATTTGGTTGTTAAAACAAATTATAAAATTTTAAGTAATGCAAAAACGCATTAATCTGGGGTAAAGGAAGGGAGAGAGCGACTTGAAATACATTATATAGAGACTGCCTGTAATGAATTGCTTTATAGGAAGTAACTGAAAAAAAAACAGCCATTTGTTTATCTTATGTGGACTCATTTAGAAATGCTTTGGCAGTGAACATGAGTCGTGTCTTATGCGCATCCTACTGTATCCCTAGCACCTAGCAAACATGTCACATGAAAGGTGCTCAATACAAGATTTTGCAGAAAGAGTACAATGCCATCTGACAATATATTTTCTGGTTATTTCCAAAAGCTGTTGTGTTCTTTAGCTTTATCACAGTCTCAATATTCTTGATTTTATAGTCCAGAATATGTGAGCTTTGAACTATTTTCAAAGTTTAGGTTCTGTTTTCTGAATTCAGGAATCATATAGAGATTATTCCTTTATTTGTGCACTTATAAGTCTTTCTTACATACTGCTACTATAATATTGATCATAAGTCATATCATATCAATTTGCTTTTACACATGCTTGCCTCAAGCCTTTGACTGCAAGCAACTCAAAGGTGGTACTGTATTTTTGCCCTAAATTTTGTACTCCCAGAACGAAATGATCTTTCCTAAAATGTGCTGCTTTGTGGTGGCAGTTGCTCATTGACTGTTTACAGTGTGAATGAGAATCCAGATCAAGTGTTTGACCTTTTTCATCCATAGTTCTCTTTAATAAAGTAAGTCATTCCATCAAAATAATGTTAACAATTTGAGAACTTAGTAAACTGCCCCGACTATTCAAGTAACATATTGAACTTAACATCGGAAGAGGTACATTTTCAAGTTTAGCTCAATATACTTTGTAAAAATTAGTATATAACCTTTGTGCATATAGTGGTGTTTCTTTTTTAAAGAGATAAGTAACTTTAGAAATGTTTTCCTTTTATTTAAGGAGCATAAATTGCTTAGGAGAGTTCCCGCATCTGCCACATCGCCTCTTTCAGTCTTAGAAATGGGAAGGAGCAGGCCAGACTACCTCAGAATCCAAAGTGACATGCACGGGTTTATTATACATGTTTAGGAAAGTTTCTGGGTTCATGAATTCTTCAGAATTGTACAAATACTTTATTATTTGTTGTGGGGGGAGTAATTCAGGTACAACTTGGTGCAAGTTGTCACCTGGTCCTTTGGTGCCCACCTTAACATTCTTGAAAAGGTAGAGTGCTAGTTTATGCGTTTGGGTGAGAAACTCTGTGACGACTTCTTCTAGGGACTGTGACTGTGTCACATCATCAAGATACATGACTGGCACTTTTATTACTGAAACTTGCCATTGCATGAAGATCCTTGTTGGGATGTTATGGGACACTACTATAATTTTCATGCCTTTGATAAAAAATTCTGTTTCATTCTTCTGATGGTTAAGATAATCTAAAAGAATTTGATGCAGAGTACCATCAGAGGACTCGAGGATGTGCAGAACGGAAGTAGGGTATATGAGCAATAATCCTGTTACCGCTTCTCCTAGGTGGTATCTCGAAATGGACTGAAACACTTGTTCGTAGTATTCTGCAATATCTTTTTTTTCTATGTTGGGTCTTGTCTTGGCCACTAGAAACATCCTATCAATAAGGAATTTCTTTAGCTGCAGTCTTTGCTTCTCTTCCTGCAAATGCAAGTAATTACTTCGTGGAACTTGTGGCGGCAGAAGAGATTCCAATGGGAAAGGTCTTTTGCTGGCCTTTCGGGTAATGCCTGAGAAAGACATGAGGAGTCCTAACTGTTCTTCCAGAGATTCTAATTTTTAGCTTATTACAGTATGCACATCATCAGGACACCTCTTCAGTGATGAATTTGTATTTTTATTTATTCTGACAAAAAGAAAAAAGAGTTACTCCGTTTGTCAAATGCTACTAAGTAGCAAAACCCCTTCCCAGTGTCATCAATAGGCAATGCCCTCAAAAATGATGGAGAATCTTAAGACAGGACTCAAATAATGAAGTTTTTTTTTAAGTTTATGGTCAAATAACTCACACATCCTAGGAAAAACCTTCATTGAACTGGGGAATGGGAAGAAGAGAGAACTTGATCTAGAGAAGTTCACTCTGTTTTTGTTTACATGATTATTTTCCTCTTCAATTTATAGTCCATTTTTTTTCTCAACATTCCATCCTTGACTTATACACACACATGCAGAGACTGAGATAGAGATAGACATATCTATAGTAATCTATAGTTATATATAATATATATGTTATTATATATATATACATACACACATATACACATACAGGGTCCGGCTGAAGTAGCACCTGCTTGAGTGTGATTGGTAGGGTAATAATGTGGGTGAAATAATTTATAGTTTTAATTTGAACAATTCACCTAAAATATCATGGTGTGCTTGAGTGTGATATTGTTATGTTACAGAATTACATGATTATGATTTTATAATAAAAGATTTGTAATAAGAAGGGGTGTTATTTGTACTGGAATAAATATATATATATGTATATGTATATATATATATAGAGAGAGAGAGAGAGAGAGAGGGAGTGCGCGCAGGAGAGAATATATGTGCTGACAGTTACTGACAGTAGCATTAACATCACATTAAAACATCTTTCCATTTATGTAATGGTGATTACAGATTATCCTTGATTTGTCCTTTTTTAAAAAAGTGGCATTTTGTGGTAATTTCCCAATTTTTTTCTAATACTGGCCAATGATATTTTTTAAATCTGGGTATATTGTAGGTCCTAACTGACTTATTTAACCTTTATTCAGTATGCTGAAAATTAATAATGTTGATTGGATAATAATAGTAAACCTTGGAAGAAACTAGTTTTGATTGTTTTTCTTCTATCAACCAACCTCAGAAATGGCTCATCCTTGGCAGTCAAATAAAAAAATTCCTTTACATTTTACTTACAAGCTTTTTCTTCCCTCCAGGTCAACTTAACATTTTTCTTTCTTCAAGTGGTTCTTTCTTTTACTTGTCCATGAGATCCTGCTAGTCCTCTATCACTGTTCCAACTGCCAGTGTGTCTTGTGTTCTATTCTCATTTCTGTGGTGACCTGGTGAGTCAGAATGTTGGTGGTGTTAAAGGGCCAGAGGGCTCTGGCAACTTCCATTTCTCAATTGAACGAGGCTATGTCAACAGACACTTCAATATCCCGGTAGAGGAAATGAGGACTTCTTTCCCAGAATGGCTTATTTTTAGACAGATGACTTTGTAAGTCAAACAGAGGGGGGACCTAGACATCTTCCTAGACATATTCTTTTCTTTTTGTCCACAATTTAGAGAAGAGAAAACTGAAGTTATATACCTTGAGCACAATTCAGACATGTTCCCAATAACACCCCTACTCTCTTTACCTCAGGTAAAGAGATATTTATGAACTAATTAAAGACTAGGACACATCAGATTCTGTGTAACAGTGACTCTGTTACAGGCATATCTTGGAGATATTGCAGGTTTCCATACCACCAAACCACCATAATAATGAACATCACATTAAAGCGAGTCACACAGATATTTTGGTTTCTCAGTGCATATAAAAGTTATGTTTATGTCATATTGTATTCTATTAAGTGTGCAATAGAATATGTTTTTTAAAATGTACATACCTTGATTAAAAATACTTAATTGCTAAAAATAGCTTTCCATCTTCTGAACCTTTAGCTAGTCATAATCTTTTAGCTGGTGGTTGCTGAATGTTGGGGTGACTGGTAATTTCTTAAAATAATACAATAATGAAGTTTGCTTTAGCAAGTGACTCTTCCTTTCATGAACAATTTCTCTCCATAGCCTGCAATATTGTTAACATTTTACCCAAATAGTAGGATTTCCTTCAATATACAAATCAATCCTCTCTAATCCTGCTACTTCTTTATCAACTGGGTTTGTAAGATATTCTCAATCCTTTGTTGTTATTTCAACAATCTTCACAGCATTTTCACCAGTAGGAGGTTCCATCTTTGCTCATCCATAGGAAGCAACTTACTCATTCGAGTTTTATCATAAGAATGCAGTAATTCAGTCACATCTTCAAGCTCTACTTCTAGTCCTTTTGCTATTTCTACCACATCTGCAGTTACTTCTTCCACCAAAGTCTTGAACCCCTCAAAGTTATCTATGAGTTTTGGAATCAGTGTCTTTCAAACTACTGTGATATTGAGACTTTGACTTCTTCTCATGAGTCACAATTATTCTTAATGGTATCTAGAATGGCGAATCCTTTCTAGAAGGTTTTCATTTGATTTTGCCTAGGTCCACCAGACAAATCACTGTCTATGGCAGCTATAGCTTTAAGCAATACAATTCTTAAATAATAAGACTTGAAAATTTGAATTATTTCTTGATCCATGCTGCAGAGTGGAGGTATGTTACTAGGCATGAAAACAACATTAATTTCTTTGTATATCTTCATTACAGCTCTTGGGTAGCCAGGTATATTGTCACTGAGTAGTAATATTTTTAAAGAAATCTCTTTTTTCTGAGCACTAGGTCTCAATAGTTCGCTTAAAACATGTAACAGATTATGAAGTAAACAGACTCTGTTGTTCCATTTATAGAGCACAGGAGAAAAGATTAAGCTTTTCTTAAGGGCCCTAGGATTTTCAAAATAGTAAATGAACATTGGCTTCAACTCAAAAGTCACCAGCTGCATTAACTTCTAACAAGAGGGTCAGCCTGTTCTTTGAAGCTTTGAAGCCAAGCACTGAGCTCTCTCTAGCCATGAAAGCCCTAAATGATATCTTCTTCCAATACAAGGCTGTTAATTTACACTGAAAATCTGTTATTTAGTGTAACCACCTTCATTAATTATCTTACCTAGGTCCTCTGTATAAATTGTTGCAGTTTCTATATCATCACTTGTTGCTTTGCCTTGCACTTTATGTTATATAGATGGCTTCTTCTCTTAAATCTTCTGAAGCAGCCTCTGGTAGTTTCAGGCTTTTATTCTGTAGCTTCCTCACCTTTCTCAGCCTCCACAGGTTGAAGAGAGTTAGGGCCTTAGCCTGGATTAGTCTTTGACTTTAAAAGAATGTTACTGTTGGTTTGATCTTGTACCCAAACCACTAAGACTTCATCTCAGCAATGGGGTTGTTTCACTCTGTTATTTGTTTGTTCACTGGAGTATCACTTTTCATTTACTTCAAGAACTTTTCCTCTACATTCACAACTTGGCTACACTGTTTGGTGCAAGATGCCTAGCTTTCAGCCCATCTCAGCTTTTAATATGCCTTCCTCTCTACACTGAATCATATCTACCTTCGATTTAAAGTGAGAGACGTGTAACTCTTCCTTTCATTTGAACACATAGAAGCCATTGTAAGGGTGTTAATTGGCCTAGTTACAATATTGTTGTGTCTTAGGGAACAGGGAGGCCTGAGAAGAGGAACAGAGGCAGGGAAACAGCTGGTCAGTGGAACAGTCACAGCACGCACAGCAATCAATTACATTTGCTGTCTTATATGTGCATGGTGTAGGACAAAGCCCAAAACAATGATACCATCAAAGATTACTGAACACAGACCACTGTAACAAATATAATAATAAATGATACATTTTAAATATTGTGAGAATTACCAAAATGTGACACAGAGACATGAACTGAACAAATGCTGTTGGAAAAATGGCTAAAGGCAGGGTTGCCACAAGCCTTCAATTTGTGAAAAACTCAGTAACTGTGAAGCATAAATAAAAAAGGAAAGCACAATATAATGAGGTATCCTGTATAAAAAAGTTCTGTAGGATTTGGTTTTCATAACTTAAAGGGAATTTAAGTTAATTTTTGGAATAAACATTTAATGATGCCGTATCTTAAAATTGCATTCATGTGTGCTCTAAAGCATACTTTTTAAACAAGGTCAGAAAACATTCTCATTCAATTTTTAAAAACTAAACCTAGTATCTTTCCCTCCATAAACTTTGTGTTATCCAAACTAATTATCTGGTTTTAATATCTAGAGATAAATTATCCCAGAAAGTGGAGGCTGAGAGGTGACTTAATAATTCCTCAATTGTGTGATACATAAAAAAATGACTATAATTTGCCACTGTTATTTGCTTTATTACTCCCTGAAACAATACAGTCTTTCCCAAGGTGTACAGAAACTTGTCATTGCCCTGTCTAGGGACTGTCCTCAGCTTTATTCATCTTATTGCTTTTCAGAATGTAATTATGTTGGCCACAACCTCTTTTATGGCCTTCTCTCCTGCCTTGGTTCCTATGATTCTACTTTTCTGAATTTCTCCCTACGTCTCTGTTGGTGACCTATAGCCCAATCTCTTCTCACACCCGACTCTGGGCAACACTGAGGCTCCGTTCTCATCATGCAGATTTTCTCACATTCTACCTCCTTGCCCAGTTAGCTCAGTACCGTCTATGCTTCTCTTTTGCGGGGGCAGGTGGTTGGCTTTTAATGTCACTCTGGCCTCCAAAGTGAATGACTGATATTGCTGATTGGCTTATGGAGTCTTTTATGCTGAATCCAGATTTGGACTCCTTCCAAATCTAAGGCTCAAGGCAGATATAACTAACTTGTTGGGGTTGACATAGAAGAAAAAACCTGAATTTCCATTCCAAGATTTTCTCTGTGTAGAAGATTCCCAAATTGTATTCTTCTCTGCACTCTTCTTAGATGTATCTCTACCCTTTCAAAGTATAAATGTCAATATTTTCAGTATTATTTTCTTTATTTTTCCTTTAAAAAATACCCCTACTATGTCTCAATGTTTTTTTCTCTTATCTCACAGGCAA